GTTTTTAAAAAAGCATCCTTTAACGCCACATTATTTTTATATATTTATTATATGCAGATTCCTAATGCTCTCCCAACCCTTTCTGTTATAGTTGCTATAAGCTGGTTTCAATTAAATGACAGTTGGGGTACTTTTTGAGCAATGAATGACGTTAAAGCAAAGTCAATCAGTCTCCCTGCAGCTGGACAAACTTACCTTTGCTCGCAAACTGAGGAAGCATTCCAAAAAAACCAGAAGCCTGCGACTTCAAGCCGCGTTTCTTGTGTCGCCTCAAAAGAAATTGGACAAATTCAAAATAAACATTGCCTTGAAGTAAGAAAATGACGAGGAGGTGACTTTACAAAGGCATGCGTAGTACGGTCGGTATCTTCTAACTTCTGCTGTGTGTTGTTGGAGTGAAGAGAAGTTGCCCCCCTGCGATGTTGTCAGTTGAAACTCTGCTGCTTCGCGAGCCAAACCACTTTCAGGATGTTCCATTCATGTGGAGAAAACGGGGGGGGGGAGTGGCGAAACCAACCGGACATCCCAGCAGCTCCGTTAAGCGTGTCGTGTGTTACAGCGACGTGCTTCTTCACCTCAACTCTACTCTTAACCTCATGTATACATTCTGTGAAGCTACGCTTGGATTTCATCCTACTGTTTTTATTTCTCGAATAGATTTGTCCAAGAAGTCCGCCACGGACGCCGTGAAACAGATACACTGAGCAATGTCAAGACTCATAGAAGGTCACAGTGGGCCATTAGCCACATCCCTAAAAATACCATCATGCCCACAAATGACCACTGTGTTCCCGTGATCTTTAAAGCGACGTTGCAATCAGATATAGCTTATGACTGCTATGACATTTAGGAATTGTGTGAAAACTTTATTCTAGTTTGAAAACATGAGTATTTATTTGCTTTAAAGTAAGAAGAGCTTTCATATGAAAAAAAAGTGTTGTTCTAATTGTTTGCAATGTGTTCATGTAGGATCCCTTCAGCGGATGATTAAAAAAGGTTTACAAGACCTTTAGACCAGGTCCTAAAACTCATGATGCACATTTCAAAAATAGTGTTCAATTTAAAGCGATCTTAAGCAGTTTGCTGAACTTCTATTCTGTGAGGCTTTTACTACACTCTTCGTTTATGTAATAGCTGTATTTGTGATTCACTTCTGTTCATTTTTGCAGGAGACTAGCACCACCCTGGCTCAGGCTGGAATAAGTATTCAGACATTCTACTTAAGGTAGGAATAGTAGGATTTAGGTAGCAATACTACACAAATACTCCATCGCATGTATAGGTCTTGCATTCAAAAAGTAAAAGTACAGAAGTATCAAAAGTAAAAGGCTATAATCATTATGCAGCAGCACTTGTTGATGCATTTTAAGGTTGTAGCATGGGCAAGGTTTCACATTTCAGCTACTTTTTTAATGCTGTTTGGTTGTTTACGCTACAACAAGATATTTCATAAGCTGTTATAGCTTTTATCTGAAAAAAATATAATGGAGTAAAAAGTATATGTGCTTTTGAAACTTATATTAAGGCTTTAGTACAAAGTAGAATAAACATTAGTACTTGTGGAAATATACTTGATTGAATGTACTTACATTACACCACTGAAATACATACATATATTATATATATTATATTATGTATTGTCAGTCACTTGACGGTGTGAGATAATTATTCATAATGGGTCCTTTTTTCGATAATTCAAGACTAAAATTCTGAATACAGCTTTTGTTGCTTAACCTGCTTCTTTAACATTCTCGTGTTGCTAATTGAGTGAAGTGATTTCAATGTTTTTTTCCACTAATTCTCAGAGCACACATCAGAGAGTGGGCACAAGGCATCTGGAATGCAGATGTCCCTGCTGCCCGAGGCATGCGACGACAGCCACTGGCAATGGCTCAGTGAAGTAACCGAGTACCACATGCCATCCTGTTGCCAAGTACAGCAGATAGGACGGTGCTGAGCCGGGGTTAGACATGAGGGATGATGACCATGGGAGAAGAGGGTAGTGGCCGCGCATTGACACATTAACCAAATAAACCCACCAGTTTTCAAACTCTGTGTAAATTGGAAGAAGGAAATGTGAGTGTGGACAGCTGTCAAAAGTGTTTCTGTCTGTAACGTTTCGAAGAATGGTGTGTTACTCTGAAAATCAGACTTATTCTTCACGGATCCTCGTGAGCTGACGGATCCCTGAGCTGCACATGATTGTGGGGTGAGGTCAAGGCCTGGAAGTGAGATGATTTCCTGTGTCAGAGTCCGTTCCGCTGTTTGTTTTGCGAGCTTTGCTGACTCACCTCGCCATGTCATCAGTTACTCTCTCTCTGTTGTGTTTAAGGAAAATGTAGAGCATGAACAACCCATGTGAATGAAGAGGGGAGGGAAAGAAACAAAGGAACGGCTTGGTTTTCCCTTTGACCTCTGCCTCCTGAACGTTACATCAGCAGAACTCAGCGACCGTCAGGAAGCAAAACACAATGGCAGGGAAACTGGAAGCACGCCCGGCCACCTTCACTTTGCGTCCCAAACACTTAAATGCATTGCGATACATTTGGGTATTCGTGTGAATTGGTAAACTGAGATATAAGGAATTTCTTGGGTTAGATACAAGTTTACTACCTCATTTGCCCTGATGGCACTGGCCAAAAACAAGATCCAAAACACCTCATTTGTATGAGAGGAAAAGTAGCTAAATTATCTATTAGGGCCCTAAAATGCATGCTGGTATCCCACTGCAGCTGTTTGCACATAAACCCACACGCTCATGTGGTTTATGTATTGATTAGAAACACTGGATGTTACCATACATTTTCCTAGATCCTTGTTTCTTTTCTTTCAGCAACTCTGTTAGTCACATGCACTGTGTGATCACACTATCTCAGTAACATAATCCAAACGTGAAAAGGGAGCTATGTTACGTAATCCCTAAGAAAACAATATATATATTTTATTGTTTGTAATTCAAAGCATGTTCTACTTATTTTTCAAGCTGATAATTTATGACTATCTCTCCCGCCCACCATCACATGGACAATGTATCCCTTTCATAAAACACCCTGAAGACACCCCAGAACCCATTGTATAGTTCAACAGAGCTATACGGTTTCATATTCATGTTCAAGTTGTTTTTTTATGGCTTCATGTGAAAGGGGTTCATCCTTATAATACAAGCTGGACATTTAGCAAAACATCAAAGACCAGTGGAGAGGAAGCACATCAAAGCGACTGACCTCTGGCCCCAAAACACACCCACCAACCACATTCCACACAATTAGAGACACAAGAGAACGTCTGCAACGGAAGCCCTACCCATTTACTGTGGGGATTTGTCAGCTATGCTGAAATATGTTGACATTTACTGTTCAAGTTTCATATTCTGCCATCTGGAACAATTTAAGTCTTTCAGCGTGTCCATGAAGCACCATTTAATTAAATCTTCCACCTTCGTGGTGAGTCTAACTGCACAGGATTCTGATTAGAGGTAAGAGAGTAAACATACAGTGTGTTGACACAACAAACATGGTCACACATTCATTTGAGCTGGTACTGGCGGAGATTTCTGCTGCCATCTAGAGGTGGGAAACCTTACATGTTGTTGAAACGTGAATGTGTTCTCCATCTTTGGATAATAACTAGGTATAAATAAATCAAATCTGGCTTTGGTTGCACGCAGCAGCCGTACAGCTCAGCAAAGGAAATTAAAGACGGCAATGAGGAACAGCTGAAAATAAGACTGGAGATATCAGGGTCATAATTACAGCCGTCATGGAAGTGCAGGAATTGCTGACCACATTTTTCAAAAGTGGCCACTTGACTAAATGCAATCTCCACTTTGTAGTCCACTCACTTCCAGTAAACTGAAATTATTGCACTGAGCACACAATGAGTTTCCATTCTAAAACGGCAGTTCTTTCTATAGTTGGTGACTGGAACTTACATTTTGGAGAAAACGTGTATTCACTTCTTTTGTGAGATGAAACACTTGATACTACTTTCATGTCTTTGCATTCAGTATGAATGGCTAGCTTAGCTTAGCATGAAGTCTGTAAACAGGATGAAACGGGTTGTGTGAGTCTACTCAAAAGGTAACAAAATACACCAGCACCTGTAAATCCCTCTAATTATCACGTTTTATCTTGTTGGTTTAATTCAAGAGTGGTATAAATCTCATCTAACTCTTGGCAAGAAAGGAAATATGCTTTCCTTACCTAAGATAATAAAAAAATTCCTTTAATTGATAACCTTTTCATCAGTTAACATTAAAAGTAAGACGTGTATGGGACCAAGAAACAACACGTGTTATTTGACATAAATCAATGGTAATAGGAGGCCATAACAAACATAATAGAAAAGTTCAGATATTCAGCTCAGTAAACCATTTATTCAAGTAATTCCAACTAAGAAATCTGATATTATTTACAGTACATTATGTTCACTAGTGCAGGTCTGAGCTCCGGTTACTGAGACAGACTCAGACGTGACAATACAGAACATGACCATATATATATATATATATAATAAATTTCACAATCCATTATTCTACCCTGTAACTACATCTTTCGTTCCTGTCTCTCTCACACACACGCAAACAAACAAACCTAAGTGCACACATGTACACATACAGTTTCACTCTACGTCTCACAGAAGGCATACACCGTTAAAGCCTTTTTTCACATCAAGGATGTTTTTCCCTGCAAAAGAACTCACAAGAGAAATACATCTTCATTGATGTATTCTCTAAGACTGCTTACATATCAGCTGGGTAGTGGACACACAACCTGAACCAACACTACTTCTGTGAATATCAAAATATGGATTTTTGTGAACAGGGAACTCTCTGACCGAAGTTGAATTCAAATGTATAACATTTCATTCAATATATCAGTTTTAGACGACAGCTTGATTTTTCCTTTTGCTGTCCGGACCACGGCTCCAGTCTTGACTTTGATGCTCTGACACTGGGACAAAACTTTGCTCCGGGAAGACTTCCTGTTGCTGCACTTCATAGTGGATCAGTCCAGTGCAACTTTTCACACCTCACTGAGGACTACGGGGAAATCTACATGTATACAGGGGTGGTCAAGCTTCACAACTCCCTAAAAAAAGAAGTGCATAAATATTAAAATCCACAAATCATTCAGAACATGCTTAACTCAGATCAGCATTGCCAAAATGTGTCCCTGGCTCACCTGTGGAATCAGATTTTTTTGAATCCTCTTCAACTTGGACTTTTTTCTGCCGTTTTTTGTCACCACGGTCTCTTCGTAGAACTCATGAGCAAGGTCGCCGTCCTCGTCATAGTACAAAGAACTGCCAACACAGCAAGTCAACATCAGTCTAAAACTACAAGTCAGGAGATAGAAACTTGCAACAGATCACATTTAAGTGACAATTATATGCTCAGTTTACCCAAAAAACACTATCTTGTATTTTCTCACATGCCTCTAGCGGCATCCAGCAAAGTTTAATGGAGGTTTTCAGATACCGGCCCTTACTTCCCACAGCTAACACCTAGCATTTTTTAGCTGTTACTATACACTTTGAACTTTTAAGTATTTAAACTATTTATTGTATTATTTTGTGTTCTTAGCTGCATGTGTGCTCTGCTATCGATTGTTGTTAATTGCCCTGATGGGGATGAATAAAGTTAATAATTTGAACAGATCTACCTCTGACTGAATCCATCCACATCCCTCACTGTGGACAGTCTTTCAATGTCACTCTTTCTATTTGAGGTGCCCTGGGGAAGTAGGGGTTAGGGTGATGACTGAATCCCAGCGTCCTGGGTTCCATCCAGCCTGAGACCTTTGTTGCAAGTCATTCCCATCTCTCTCTCCCCTCATTTTGTGTCATATCTCTACTTCCAGCTTATAATAGAGGCGTAAAATGCCTTTATTATACAGCCGTTCTCCTCCATTGTATTTCCAGGATATTCTTATCTCAAACCACATAAAAAAACAACCTCCACTAGGATTACTTAACAAAATAAGTTATTTGGGTTAAGCAAACTGTTACCATTTTCCAATCATGTATTATTTACCTCCTCCTGGTAAAAACAAACTGTGTGGCACTTCTGGAACCTTTGAGGCGGGCCACAGACTGCTCGTTCCCATCACTGGCTGAATCCCCTCCAGCTCCACTGCCTGAGAAAGGCCAGACACCTTTGGCTTTGGATCCACTTCCTCCCATTCTCAGAGATAAGACATAGTTAGTCTCCAGTTAATGCTTTCAATCTGGTTGGTGGCCAGACGCTCTCAATTCCTCATCAAAGCCAGGATCTGAGAAGAAACACACACACACACATCAGACTTGACATTCTCTAACTGGTGTTCAGGTAGCTGTGTGACTACTTGTGTAACTCTTTGTTTAGCAAGTGACTTTTGACTAGGTGCATCAAATACTGTATTGCTGATTCACTATGATACACTAGATGTAATGCCCAGCTATTATCAATGTGATGCATGATCATCTTACCCTGTAAGGAGTCCGAACTTGATTCAGAAACGCATCGACTCAAAATATGCTGACACAAGAACTGTTGTCGATCTTAAACTAGACGAAATTAATATAAAAAATATCAGTTCACTAAACGAGACAATGTCGAAGCTAACGTTGTATTGTAACCTTTACGTTATGCTAGCTTCACAGGAAGCTACACACAGCCATATAATCCTAAACGAGAGCAATCTGATTATTAGCGTTAGTTACATTGCCATATTACGGTATAAAAACAACCGTCATTTTAAACGTAACGCCAAGAACATGTCCCATGAAGCACCACCGTAGTATTGGGCCAGCTAATAACATGTAGCTAGCTGTAGCTAACGACACCTGCATATTTAGGCGAGTTAGCCTGTTAGCTTCTGACGCAGGTTAGCTACAACAGCTAAGCGTTAACGAGCCAGACAACACAGCGACATGTCTCCTAAACAAACACTAAATCATCTTCGCCATAGACCACCAAGCGCAAAAACAAAATCTTGACAACATCCTACCTTATAATATCGTCATGTCCTTTCATAACTTTTACCCCCGGCTATGTTAAGCTAGCGTTAGCTGTTTTGGTCCTTACGATGGAGATCAGCTGATCAGACAGACAGGCGGTACCGAGACAGTTACCGGAAGTCATTGTACTTTCTACTACTTAACATCACGACGGGGTTGTAAATCTAAAATAGGGTCGGATAAAAATTGCTTTTAACTCTATGTCTACGATGTGGGGGTTAGGGTTTTGTTTGTGGAAATGGGTTATTTTGTAGTCCTGTATTGGGGCTTATCACTCAAATCTAACAAGGGCATATTTCAACGTTTATTTACGATATACAAGAAATACAGAAACTTATTTGAACTGGGAAATTCTTTACTGAACGCGGTGCACATTTGTCACATTGTGAATTGTAGCTTCAACATGTAAATACGTGCATGGACGGCTACAATGATAGTGAACCGAAGAACGAAAGACATTTTCTTAAAAGGACAGAAAAAAAACAAAGATATGAAGCAATGACAAACAGCTTTCAGTGAAACACATGTATACCAATATTCATTCAAGGTTCCAGTCAACCAGAGTGACACTACTCTCTCTGACATTCATCGTTGCATACAAATGTCCATACATCAGTCAAATTCACAATTTGACCGTAAAATAAAAAACAAAGAGTTGCACCCATCAGGGGTGTCGAGAGGACATGGCAGATTTTTGAGCCTGGGTCAAATGAAAATCCAAATACTCTTCAGCAACAAATGTGTATTTAACTTTTCCAAATGTCATAATGGGAGTTGATGGTTTTCATGGTAGGCTGTCAAAGGACCAGATTAAGTTTATCTGAACTCGGCAGTAATGGCATGATTGGACATGTTGCCAATTTTGTAATCTGGAAAAATAAAAAGGAATGCAACTTCCAGACGTGTGATTATCGGCTCAATTACAATATGGGGCTTGGCTTTAGCACTACATCTACAAATGTAGATTAATCGTATTTTTAAACCAAAAAATGCTAAAAACCATCCCTGATATTTTCTTTAAAAGTTAAAGTGACACAGCTGAGGTACACGGGATTATCAGACATCACAGTCTCATCTGCCAGTGTCATTTCTCTCAACTCAATTCTCTCAGGCACATCAGACTCTCCAGGTGTAAGGCACTTCTCATCTCTCGCATCATTTCACACGCACATTCGCGCTAGCTCTCTCTCGCTCTCTCATTGTCTTGCGCCCTGTTTCACTCTCTCGTTCACCCAAGAGGCGTTTAGAGTTGTATTATCTGGGATCTTTGGATGCAGCGATGACTGGTCGTCTTCAGGCGATTGTCCAGCCAAGAGGTGCACGTTCAACCCCGAGCGCAGAGTCGTCTCAGCCGGGGGTCGAGCCGGCCAGAGCCTCCCGCATCCTCACACGGGCCAGAGCATACCGCTTCACTATCTGCTTGACGTGCTCCTCCTCTTCACGCTGCAACATGCGCGCAAAGTTCTTCAACTCAGGCATGGAGAAGGCATGCCACTGTAAGAAGAGTAAAAATTAAATTAGTACACTTTATAAACTTACCACAGGGTTGGGCCCTTATTCTCAAATCCATGTTACACTCACATTGACTTCTCCAGTTTCATTCTCTTTCAGAACAAAGCTGAGGACTTTCTCATTGGGCCCAGTACACAGACGCAGGCGGAGGGGACTCTCATTATCAGAGACCTTGCGAACATAAACTGAAAGAGCAGAAAAAAAACCCAACTCACCTTAATGTAAAGCATGCACATTTTGATTTAAAAACACTGCAGGAGGTCAAATGTGTAAGCATAATGAAGTGGAGTGATACCTTGGTCATGACGCTCGCTACGCTCAAACAGAGCAAACTTGCCAGGGTTATCCACCACTGTGAACTTTTTCAACAAAACCTCGATGACCTCACGGGCAGAGGTGCGTGAGCTTATGTGGAGATGCTTGGACGCATCCTTTGGCAGGTAGAAAGAGGTGCGACGCTTCACTCCGGTAGCCTTCCTCCCTCCGGCATCGTGACCTCCTTTCTTTGGAGGTGGAACTGACACAGGACGGGCCAACTTGAACTGCACCTTTATAAAGCCAGTGTAGGAGCCATCCTTGTTCTGTTGAGTAAAATAAAAATAGTTTCACTGAATAAAAAAAACCCTGTCGCCTTAAAAATGCATGGATTTGTTGTAAATCATCGCTGCTCACCGTGTTCATGAACAGATTGCTGTTGATTTGAGCGTTGTATTCCTTCACCTTCTGCTGAATATCTGCAGTGGTCAACTCCTGCTTTCCCCATTCAATTTGTTCATCCTGGAGGAGACAGTGAGGAGTTACAGTGTTAAACCACCAGGTGGCAGGGCTCATCTCCAAACAACAGCAGGACCCAGAGACAGAGCCACACACAACACCCACAATGCACCAGTACATGAATTGACACTGGACACTGTTTAGTTGTGCATTATAGTCTTAAAAATTGTAAACTTACATTTTTGTACCAATCCTAAAGACATATCAGGTGTGTTGAAAAGTAAGTTTTCAGGAATTGAGAACGTTGGAATAAGGTGTGAAGCTATTGTGTAAAAGAAACAGTAGTGCGATGATTTAAATAAGTTCCTCTTCCAAAACTAACATTGTTCAGAAGAGAATTACAAACAGCCAAACTTTAGTAAAGCTGTAATTAATTGACTTCCTGTTAGGCCACCGTTATTTCTAACAGTGAGCACCAGTTGCATCAGACTCAACTTCCTGACAACGCAGCAAAGGCAAAAACGATGATGTCAGCGCTGCCCAATCCTGTACGACTGCTCTGATTCTTCGGCCCAGGAGGGTTAGAGGAAGGAGGGGTATGTGCAACTTGCAGCTGTTTGCAATGAGTGCGACCAACCGCTCTGCATCGCATTCTTCGACTTGGTATTCATGTAAAAATAGCCTCCCCTCTCTCCGGCTCTCACAAGTGGGAGAGACAAAGCCCTCCCTTGTTTTACAGACATCCTGTGAAGTCAGCTGCCTCATCAACCGCACCGTCTCAGTCATGTCTCAGTCATGGAAAATTTGGCCATTAGGTCAATTAGAGCTTTTCCTGAGTAAACTGACCAACTGGTATTTCCTGTATAGTAAGAAAATGCAACAGAAGTGCGAGGCAGCACAAATTTATTTTCCATACTGTGCTCCAGCTCATTCCTTGAGGTTCCTAGGAGCAGGGGGTTTCCTGAGGAGTAAAATCCATATCCAGTATCTGTGGACTGATACTCTCTCCATTATTACAAACAAGCATTTCTACATTAAGTAATTTAGTTCTCTTTCTCTACTTCAAAATATCGTTAAAATATATCTAACTCTAGCCTGCCTCTCTCTATTTCCATTACTATGGATTAATGAACACAAACCAGGCAATGCTGCGAGCTTTAAAAGGGCTGGGTAGCTTATAAATCGACGTAGAGCAGAAGAAGATCAATGGTGGCGATCCTTACGCAGATTGAAAGACTGTAGAGTTAATATGCTGCTGTTAACTAGTCAATAAATCAATAAAGTGGGCCATGTTGAGCTTTCCCATTTGGTAACAGGAGGAAAAAACCTATGCAACAACTGCATGTCCACAAAAGGAGTGTCCTATCAAACAGTGCCAACAACGTGAATCAAAAATGGCTTCTGCACAAAAAACACAAAAAAGGGTGAATGTCACTGAGTTTTACAATAAACAGCGTCTGTTTTTCAATAAAGAAAGCTGAGCCCTTTAGTGGGCGTGGGTGACTAAAGGAACAGAAAATTAACAAACCCAAAACAACACATGAATCATCAGTGATTGGGAAATAAGTATGAGAAACCTGAATAGTCAATGAATGGTGGGTGTTAGGCTGGAAACCTGAGAAGCCGGTGTGCGTCACAAAACATGACAGTCGAGTTGTTCTCTGCAAGGGTTCAGCTGTGGGTCTGTGCTTGTTACAATTAAAAAGTTGCACTGCTGGATTGTGGTTCTTCCACCAGTGCTGACATGCCTTTTATTATAGGTTCTCAATCCAATGTTTGTTATAAGTCTCAAGTCTATTCACTCAAAACTGGAGGAACCACAGCTCCACCCTTTAACCTGCAAGCTCACTTGGCAAGCATCCTCTCAGCTGGAGTGCCCTTGAGCAACACACAGTTGCATTTGACTCCTAAACATGTGGATAAAATGCTCAATTTAAACAGAACAGCTGTCAAAGAGAGCAGCAACCTTAAATAACGCGAGAGAAACGTTAATTATGAGGAACCACCCCATCACCCATCTCTCTGGTCTCACTTCTCCTTTTTACATTGAGGAGTTTTTTTATTCAAACCTAACGTTATTTTTTGTTAACCTTTTTCGGGCTTCTCACCTGCTTTACGTTAGCAGTAACGTTATCTTTCCGGGTTTTGGGGAAGAACGATGTCCGGGCGGTGAAGTACTGCTCGAACTCAGAGTCGGGCTCCTCCTCGCTGCAGTAGCCGCTGCTGGTGGAGCTGCCCCAGGTCATCTCGAAGGACGGGGTTTTCTCCGAGCTGCTAGCCGCGTTTGTCATGCTGACTACCGGTCAAAAAAACTTTAGCACGAGGGTCAACAACCGGGAACTTAAGAAACGACGACTAAAAAGTGTGAAAGTAAATCACGCTTAGTTAGCTCAACACAAAAACCTGGTTGAACAGAAGTCCGGCTGAAATGTTCTCAAGAACGGCAATTAACGGCTAACTTCAACGGTTAACTGATCTCTCAGAGGACGTGATATCTCGGTTGCGCCTTGATAACAACAGTCTAAATCAACTAAATACTACTATCTTCTTTTTCCTCTAACTTCAACCGGCCACGTTTCAACTGTACTCGGTCTGTGTGAAACAGGATGTATTCAGGCCCCCGCCCTTGCTGCCTCGCTTCCTTCCCCTCGCCGACGCCCCACCCACGACTGTTGAGCCGAGTTTGGAAAATACACAAACCCATCGTAGCCGGTCGCCCATTGGACGGCGAGGGGAAATACCAAAGTCTTGACCTCCTCCCTCCCTCCCCTCTCCTCTTCTTTTTGCCGCCTCTCCCACGGATGCTGCTCCCTCGTCCTCCCCGCTAAGTTTGTCACGTGATAATAGGTCGGTCTGGTCCTACAGTCTATGGTCAACATGCGAGTCTTTTTATTCATAAATGTATGAGCTGTGAGTAAATATGTTGAACTCAAAGGCACCAAACATACAATACTTGAAGTTAGACCGCCAAGTTAGGAGACATTTTTCTTATTTAGTTTGAAAAGCTTGAGCGGAAACCATGTTATCTCTCAGGGGGAAAGAGGGAGATATGCTAACATAGACACTTTATTGATATGGGTGGGATGTTTTCAGTTGCACTGAATCAGTTTGTCATTGAATCGATTAGTCGATCAATAGAAAATTAGGATTTCTCCATTGACTTCCATACAACCAATAAACTTGAGGAAGACGAAGACAAAAAATGAAACAGAATCAAAGCAGCAGAGGCCGAGATATCATAACCTTCAGGGCCTAGTCGCGCTTCAAACACTGGATTCCACAATTCCCATAATGCAACTCACCAGGATCCTTCATTATGCCGCCTTCATGTTGTATTTGAGTTATTATAAAAATATTTTTAAACTTGTAGAGAGTGTTCACGTCAACTGCCAAGTCCCAATTATGACTGGCAAACTGATTTTTCTAAATGCTCCTATTTATGATATATATATATATATATATAAAAAACATATTATGATGCTGTTATTTTTGTATGATTGAGATGTTTCTATGTTTTATTCGTTTGTAACGACTTGCTTCCTGTTGCTGCCTTTTTGGCCAGGTCGGGCTGGTTCTCAATTGAATTATCTGGTTGAATAAAGGTAAAATAAAAAAATATGCGAGTTGGCACGTACTTACACGGAAGTGGCTGAAAACTAATTTTCTCTGGCTTTTTAACCTTATAAATGAAAGATTTTGGACAGTTGATCAGAAAAAAAGAGCAATATGAATGTCACCCTGGGAAATTGTGAAAGACATTTGCCAGCCTGTTCTTACATTTTATGAACAAAACCAATAAACAAAGAAACTATTAATACAATAATTGAGAAACTGCTCTGCAGGTGAATTGATAAATAACAGGGATGCATCAATCCAATATGCCAGATTGTTATCAATCCCACATAAATAATGTTTCTTTGTCAGTGTCATAAAATTCTATGTTTGGTAATCAGTTACATTTATGTACACGGAGAGCCGCCAATCTTTCTTTTGTGCCACAACATTTATGTTAATAAAAATGTGTCAAATGAGTCCCACTGAGTGAGATGTACAGATTTTAACTTTGGGAACAGGACAGCTCTAGTATCAGATCAGTACTCACATCTGTAAAGTTGCAAATTTCAGCTTAAAAAAAAACTATGAATCCCTAGTTTTCAGTGTGCTGCAATGTGAACTCTTTTTAAACCATCAAGCGGACTGATACTAAAATAGGACTCGGTACTAAGTTTATAACCTTGTAGTGAGAATCTGGCTACAGAAAATTATAATCAGGTATGTTGATAAAATTGTCTTTAATTTCTGCATTTAAAGCTATGATTTTGAGACAGATAAACAATCCTCCTTTGTTCATCTGGAACATGCCGCCCCTAGCATACACTTTTAAGTAATAACACAGAGAACATAAAAAACCATGGGGCACGTGTCCAACTGGTGAAGACATTTGTAAACTATCCTCAGTGTTTGTCTCACATGCTGAGGAGTTGCTCATATCTTTTAAGCTATCAGCACAAGTACTGGCTAATGTGTACCGGCAGGAAATACTTTGGAGCCTCCTAGTGTGAAGTTACGAGTTCACATATGTGGACTGCTACACCCAGAAATATTCCTGCTGTTCTCACATTAAACTCTGATTGAACCAACTCTGATTTTGTGATACGGTTTTCACTGCTTATTGGTACACACCACTATCACAGAGCCATCACCAATAGATCCACCTGTACGTTCTCCTGCTATGTCAAGTGAAAACATCTGTTGTGTAAAAGGCCTTATGCACACAAAAACCCAAGCACCAAGACAATATCCAGCAATGTCTTCATACTGTTCATACTCCGCTGAAGTTTTTACATTCCAGACATCCTTTGATAAGCAACATGTGTTGGATAGAGAGGGAATACAACCTGTTACCAAGAAACCAAACCCAGCTGCCTTGAACGACTATGGGCTTGTAGCCTTGACCTCCCTCTTTATAAATAACAATGTGGTGCAGAGAAGCACAGCGAGGAGTCTTCTTCTGGTAAGATTTAAGATGCAGAGACTTGACTTTATCTCTCTGTTTATCTGGATAGGGTATATTACAATGTTTGTTGGCACTTGTTATGCCTTTTTAAAAAATAAAGCAAAGACAGGACTAAAACATAAAACTCTTAAAATTAAAGTGAAAACATATTATGGTACATCATGCTGAAAAAATCAAAGTGTTGAGTTTGTTTTCTTAAAACAATGGGTGTAACAGCTGGCTCAGGGACGCAGACAGATGTTTCCCTGCAGTACTTAAATAAACTGAACCAGATCTTGCAAAATCTGTTACCTGTAACGTTTTGTGTTTCTCAATAACAAACTTCAGCAGATTTTAGTAAGTGGAACAGGATTACCGCCGTGGTTTCATTGCCATGTAAAATAGTTCCCATGTGATTTTGTTCCTAAAAGCAGTCCTGCAAAATTACCAGGTAGCACGTAATGTAACACGCAAAGTAGAGGCTGGTAGAAGCTACTAGTTTCCTCACCGATTGTCTCATTTTTAAAGGTAACCATAGTGGTACAATAAGGCAATAACTTCTTGATGTTCTTTGATTGTGAGCACGGCTGCTTATGAACAACCAGGGAATACTAGGCCGGTCATAATGCCAAATACAAAAGGTCCTTACCACATTGGTGTCTGTTTCTATGGCGTGCTCCACTACCAATGTGTGCTCAGCCACGGAGCCTCGGTCCCAGCTGCAGTCCAGCCGGATCAGAGCACGGCAGCGGTAGTGGCACGTGAATCTACAATCTGTAAGTGTAGAAAGTCACGGGTTTACACAAACGCTGCCAAACACATAAATACACATGACATCGACTGTAAACACGCGTGAGATTATAGTGTAGAGTACAATTCTCAATAGGAGATGTCCTCCTCTGGCCATTTCCGGTCATTGCAGTACCTTTAAGTTTGCTTTCCCCTGCATTTTCGTTGGCATGGTTGGAAATGCGTAAATTCAAACGTGTGTTTATTATTGAGGTCATAGTTAAAGGTGGTGTTGTACCG